CACATCTTTTTTTTTTTATTTATTTATTTGAGAGAGAAAATGAGATAGAGAGCATGAGAGGAGGGAGGTTCAGAGAGAGAAGCAGACTCCCCGCCGAGCAGGGAGCCCGATGCAGGACTCGATCCTGGGACTCCAGGATCATGACCTGAGCCGAAGGCAGTCGCTTAACCAACTGAGCCACCCAGGCACCCTCTCTACCACATCTTTATCCATTCATCAGTCGATGGACATTGGGGCTGTTTCCAAAATTTGGCTGTTGTAGATAATGCTGCTATAAACATTGGGGTGCATGTGTCTCTTTGAATTAGTATTTTTGTGTTCCTTGGGTAAATACCTGGTAGTGTGATTGCTGGGTTGTAAGGTAGTTGTATTTTTAACCTTTTGAGGAACTCCTGTACTGTTTTCCAAGTGGCTGCACCAGTTTGCATTCTCACCAACAGTGCAAGAGGTTCCCCTTTCTCTACATCTTCGCCAACATGTGTTGTTTCTTGTGTTGTTGATTTTAGCCACTCTGACAGGTGTGAGGTTATAATATCTCATTGTAGCTTTGATTTGCATTTCCCTGAGGATCAGTGATGTTGAGCATCTTTTCATGTGTCTGTTGGCCATCTGGATGTCTTCTTTGGAAAAATGTCTGTTCATGTTTTCTGCCCATTTTTTAATTAGATTATTCCTTTTTTGGGTGTTCAGTTTTATAAGTTCTTTATATATTTTGGCTACTAACCCTTTATCAGATATGTCATTTGCAAATGTCTTCTCCCATTCCATAGATTGCCTTTCAGTTTTTTTGATTGTTTCTTCACTGTGCAGAAGCTTTTTATTTTGGTATAGTCCTAATAGTTTGTTTTTGTTTCCCTTGCTTCAAGGGACATATCTAGAAGGAAGTTGATAGAGTCAGTGTCAAAGAGGTTACTGCCTGCGTTCTCCTCTAGGATTTTGATGGTTTCAAGTCTCACATTTAGGACTTTAATCCATTTTGAGTTTATTTTTGTGTTTGGTGTAAGAAAGTGGTCCACTTTTCATTCTTGTGCATGTTGCTGTCCAGTTTGCTCAACGCCATTTGTTGAAAAGACTGTGTTTTTCCCATTGCATATTCTTTCCTTTGGTGAAGATTATTTGACCATATACTTGTTATTCATTTCTGGGTTTTGTATTCTATTCTATTGATCTGTGTGTCTAGTTTTATGTCAGTACCATACTGTTTGATCACTACAGCTTTGTAATATAACTTGAAATCCAGAATTGTGGCCCCATGGTGTAATGGTCAGCAGTCTAGACTCTGAAGTCCAGAATTGTGATGTCTCCAGCTTTGCTTCTCATTTTCAAGGTTGCTTTGGCTATTTGCAGTCTTTTTTGGTTCCATACAAATTTTAGGATTGTTTGTTCTAGCTCTGTGAAATATGCTATTGGTATTTTGATAGGGATTGCATTAAATGTGTAGGTGGCTTTGGGTAGTATAGACATTTTACCAATATTTGTTCTGCCAATCCATAAGCATGGAATGTTTTTCCATTTCTTTGGGTGATCTTCAATTTCTTTCATCAGTGTTTTACAGCTTTCAGAGTATAGGTCGGTCACCTCTTTGGTTAAGTTTATTCCTAGGTATCTTATGGTTTTTGATGCAATTGGAAATGGGATCAATTCCTTGATTTCTCTCTCTGCTGCTTCACTATGGATGTATAGAAATGCAACAGATTTCTGTACGTTGATTTTTGTATCCTGTGACTTTATCTGGTCTTAGTATCAGGGTATTGTTACTCTCATAGAATGAGTTTGGAAGTTTTCTTATCTCTTCAATTTTTTGGAATAATTTGAGAAGAATAGGTATTAACTCTTCTTTAAATGTTTGGTAGAATTCCCCTGGGAAGCCATTTGGTCCTGGACTTTTGTTTGTTGGGAGTTTTTGATTACTGATTCAGTTTCTTTGCTGGTTATGGGTCTGTTCAAGTTTTCTATTTCTTCCTGTAATTTTAGTTTTGGTAATTCACATGTTTCTAGGAATTTATCCATTTCTTCCAGGTTGTCTAATTTGTTGACATGTAATTTTTCATAATATTATCTTATAATTGTATTTCTGTGGTGTGTGCAGGGGCTTGTGCTGGTCTTTTGGGGGAGGGGCCTACTATGCTGGGATTGAGGCAAGTTTGACTGAGAAGGGCAGTCCTGCCAGAGCACAGGGTGGGTGGGGCTTGGTATAAGCAAGTTAGGCAGCCAATGTTGGCATTGCACTGCTTTTTGCAGTGGTTCTATGTTTGTGCTGAGGGGCAGGGGAGGGAAATGGTGCCAGTCAGCTCCTTTGTTCCCAGGGAGGTGTCTCCATGCATGCTGCCTCTCAGGGATGCACTCTGAGTAGAGTGAATAATCTCACCACTATGTGTTGTTTCTCAGATTGCTGTTTCCATACCGTCTCCCCTCCCAACCTCCCGCCCCAGGTTGTTTGCCTGCCTTCTCTCCAGGAGCAGGGCATTGCCCTCTGGGCTCTATCCCAGCCAAACCTGCTGACCTTTAAAACCCCAGGCTTCAGATCCTGCTGGTTGCAAGCACTCACAAAATCCAGCTTCTTTCATTTTCCAGGCCAATGGCTTTGGGGAAATGTTCTCCTTGTACATTCCCCTATGTGCTCCTCTCTCTCTTGCCCTTCTCCTCCACCATAGTCCCAGCCCTCTGCAGCAGCCAGGATCTGTTTCTCCACTAAACCACAGTCTCTGCACTGCCTATCTTCTTCTCTGTGGCCTCTTCTCTCCCTTTAGTTGTGGAATTTGTTCTGTCAGTCTTCAGGTTGATTTCTGGGGTATTTAGGATGATTTAATAGTTACCTAGCTGTGTTTGTGGTACCAGATGAGCCTAGGGTCTTCCTACTCTGCCACCATTTTGAAAATGCAGGACACAGATTTTAGGATTCATTCACCAATTTCACCTGGATTGTGAGCCCCATGAGTAATTAGAAGAGGCAGCTGCCTACACAGATGGTTTGGAAAAAACTTAGAGGTCTCCCAAAGATAGATTCCCAGATCCTGGCTTTTTCCAGATCCTGGCATTTTCCACTTACCAGAACCTGGCATTTTCCATGATCTGCCCTTGTATTAGATCACCTAAGACTCCAATGAAAGTCATCCATTTTATCTTGCAGGAATGTTGTGCCCTCATAGATGAAATAGGACCACCGAATCAGTTAATTAAATTAGTACTAGTCGAGCCCCTGGTATAATTAGAACTTATATGGATTGTGTTTCTTGGAAGGTACAGCAGGAAGTCCAGAGATGCAGGAAGCCAATGGGCTTTGTACACATTGCTCTTTTGGCTTGGAATGCATGAACCCCTGTTTTCCTCACTTGGCCTACTTCGGCTTAGTCTTCAGATGTCAACTAAGAGCTCACCTCTGGGGATTCTTCTCCATCTCCTTTCCCTTCTTCCCAGTTTTTGGGAGATACCTTTCCTGTCTTGACCAGGGAACATGTCATATGAGATTAGGATTGTTAATTTATCTCCCTGACAGACCAAGTCCTGCCAGGGCGGAGAAGACAGATTACATCTTTTCTTTTTGAACTCTTAGGACGTGCCAGCATAAAATATGTTGAATGCATGAATGAGCCAGTTGGCAAAATGAAACTTGAGAGGTGGTGAAAACATGCCCTACCTTCTAAGAAAGCTGCAGACTGCTCTGTTTGGCCTGCATTAAAATGATTTCTGTTTTTTGTGACCCTTACCTCCTGCTTCTCCTGTGTTGGTCACTACTCTCGTAAGAGGCCTATGTAATGTGCTCTTGAACTGCAGGCTGAGAGAAGAAAACTGATGCCTAGACACAAAAAACCTTAGGGGAAATGAGGTAAAGAAGAAAAGAGAACTGGAGGCCAAAATTCCAGCAAGTAGAAATGGGTTATCTGAGCACTGACTGATACTGTAGTATGGGGACAGGGAGGAGATACTTATAAAGATCCTTGCTTCTCAGGTTGGTCCCTTTGGTTTGAAACAAGGTGTTGGTGCACTAGAAGACGGTTTGTTTTCTTCTTCACCCCACATACATGCATCAGAGGGCCTTCCCACCTGGAGCTACTTCCTTCTTGTTTCACCTACCATCCTCCCTGTTGGAGAGAGGCCGACTTGGCTATCCATCTGTATTTGGCCACCTCTAAAGACAAGCATAGATGAAAAGCTGGTGCAACATTGAGAATTTATTTATTTATTTATTCTTATGTTAATCCCCATACATTACATCATTAGTTTTAGATGTAGTGTTCCATGATTCATTGTTTGTGCATGAGAATTTATTTTTAAGATGTTCCAAATCAGCTAAAAGCGGCCACCAACAAGGGATTATAACTCAGGGCCCATGGGAATCCTCAACAGTGCTCACAAGGAGCTTCCCAAGAAAACAGGGCCATCACTTATTATACTGTTAAAACTCCCCAAAATTGGTTATAGTAGTATTTTATTTACTTATCCCTCACATTTTTCCAGAAAGTTTTTCAAGTGGCTAATAGCTAATAGTTATGGGAGAAGATAAAAATCAATGTTTCCCATCTATTTTTCTAAATCTTGTGTTTTCCCTTTTTTGCACTTGTTTTATTTCTGATCATGTTTTTCATTTAATATTAATCTCTCTGAACTTACTGAATGCAAAAGAAGAGGAAGTGGAGTTCTGTCAGAACAGAATACCATTTTTTTCTAAGTGTGACATCAGCGGAGTTGTAATCTAGTGCTGAATCTTAGTCAGACTTCCAGGTTATTATATTGAGAGTGGGACCCATACAAAGAATCTGATCTCTAAGAATAAACATATGAAGGATATTGCATCCATGACTGAATTTCCATTTGCCTTTATCCAGTGCGATAGGTCAAGTTCAGTACTAACCTGGACTGTCTAAAGGCAGCAGGAAGCTAACTAACTTTACTAAGGGGAGTCTAAATTGGCACTCTAAATTTAAAGAATTGCCCAAATTGGCAGGGGTGAAGGTGATGCAAAACTTCTCATGTACTGTTCTGCACTTTTCTTCCTCCAGCAGATTTGAACAATGAAATCCTGGCCAGGGCCTGAGAACGTCATCAGGCTGAAGTTGTTACCCCCCCAGTCCTTGGGTGCTCTCTTGCTGTCTCAGAAAGACTGTTCATTTTATGACCTTCAAGTCCTGCACAGTTGTTTCTAAAAGGGGATCATTTTGAGTGACTGCATGTCATGTCTATGCAGTGTGCATGGTACCTCGTGGCTAGAATGGACTGTATACTTGTGATATGATTCCAGTCACACTTGGAATAAAATCCTATTGAAGACATATGACTGCATGACTTCCCAGTATTTTTCTGTGTGAGAGGAAGAATTTTAGTAAGTTTATGTTTTGCCTAAAATGTATTTCAGACTAACAGATCTAGTTGTGAGGCAGTGTGCTCAGTAGTTAGGATCACAGACCCTGGAGCCAGACTGCCTACATTTGAATTCTCCCTTCATAATTTATTGGCTGCGTGTCCTTGGACAAGTAACTAAAGTTCTTTGGCTTCAGCCTTCTCCTCTGTAAAAATAGTACTTACCATGTGTTGGGAACTATTTAAATGTTACTTGCTGCGGTTAGCACTGATATTATTATAGTCATTAAAGTCTAGAGGTACAGATATCAATTCTAAAAGGTCCTCTTTTTTTTTCCTCTCTCTCTCTATTTTAATAAGGCAGAGTATAAATATTATTTACAAAGATTATGAAACTGATCAACTCATGTCTCTTGAAACCAAAAGCTTACTTTTGTTGAGAAAGCACTGGAAATATTCTTTTTTTTTTTTTTAAGATTTTATTTATTTGAGAGAGAGAATGAGATAGAGAGAGAGAGCATGAGAAGGGGGAGAGTCAGAGGGAGAAGCAGACTCCCTGCTGAGCAGGGAGCCCGACGCAGGACTCGATCCTGGGACTGCAGGATCATGACCTGAGCCAAAGGCAGTCGCTTAACCAACTGAGCCACCCAGGTGGCCTGGAAATATTCTTAAGCATGATTTTACTACGGTTGTGTCTGAAATGATTCAATGTTCAGAAAGTGTTATTTATTTCTGAAATGCAAGTTTTTACAAAGTCTGAAAAATACATGACAGTCAAATCATTAGCCTAAAGAGTAGGTTTAGTAGATTGTAACATTTTGATAAGATTTGTAGATTTGCCTTTTTCCAGTATAGAGTCACACTTGTTTTGATATTATGGTCATCCTGCTTGGATCTTGTTCTGATCCCAAAGCCACTACACTATTTTAGCAACCAGCTTTGTATAATGGAGAAGGGGAAACTCTTCAAAGTCTCTGCTGATTATAACACAGAAACAGTTCCTAGTTCTGGCAGTGAACGTCATAGGTTAGAACAAAGTTTTATGCCACTTAAAACCATAGATTATAAATTGTACGTTTTTTCCAGATTCTAGTGTGTATTTATAAAAATTCTGAGATTTATACTGTGGGAGAGTGCTCTCTTCATCTTTCCCTTGGGAGATATGTGTAAGGAAGAAGGAGAATCTTAGGTCGTGTGTGTGTGTGTGTGTGTGTGTACACAGCTGTGGAAGACTGAAACTCTAGATTTTTTAAAAATAAAAGAAGATGGAGACAAAAAGACCAGTGGTTGTCGGAGGTTGAAGGGAGAAGGGATAAATAAGTGGAGCAAAGACTATTTTTAGGGCAGGGAAACTATTCTGTATGATACTACAATGGTGGATACATGTCAGCCTGTAGAATGTACAACACCCGGAGTGAACCCTAATATAAACTGTGGACTCTGAGTGATAATGATGTGTCAGTGTGGGTTCATCAATTATAACTGCACTACTCTGATGGGGATATTGATAACTGGGGAAGCTGTGTGGATGGAAGGGACAGGGGATATATGAGAACTCTGTACTTCTGCTCAGTTTTGCTGTGAATTTAATATAGTCCTAAATATAAAGTTTAATTAAACATATAAAATAAATAAAAGAGGATCCCTAGGGAGGTACAGTGCAGGAGTCTAGAAAGAAGCAGGAAATTCTGGAGACCAGGAAAGTACCTGGAAGCAAGGGGGAGGGGACAAGTCGGAAAAGCAAGCCACTTGTGAGTTAGTTAAAATCTCTAGCCAGCTTTAGTGTCTGGGGGGAAGGGAGCCTCTTGACAGGTTTCCAGAGAAACCAAGCATCATGGTGTGGGTCCGTTTATAAATATGATCAGGCAGTCATCAAAATTTGAGATGTGAGTAAAGCATCTATAAATTTATTTTAAAAGTTTAAAAGTTTAGATCCTGCCACTATATACTTCTCAATGCTTCTTGACAACTTTAATCAATGTTTATGTTTACTTATTTAATGTTTTCCCCATGACTTTTAAGCTCCACAAAAGCGGGAATCATTGTGTCTTTGTTAACACTCCATCCTCAGCTCATAACACAGTTTCTGGAGCATAGGCGATTCTCAATAAGCATTTGTTAGGTGAAATACCTAAGAACATTACCATTAACAACAGTGGCTTCCATGCAGCGTTTCCTGTGTTCCAGGCTGGAATAATGTAGGAAAACATACATGTGCATAGATCCTTCCAGCAGACCTGACGGCTCCCCTGGGAGTCAGTCATTGTCTTTACTATTCTGTCATTTTACAGATTCAGCTTGGAGCTTGCTCCTTGCTGGGACAGAAACAGGGAAGGCCCTTGCTTCTTGGAGCTTGCATTCTAATGGATGACATACAGGGTGCTGCAAGAGAAACGGGTTTGGGGCAGGAGGATGTGCTTGTTTAGATGGAGTGGTCCAAGGGCCACTGAAGCAGAGACGTTTGTCATGGAATCTGAATGACCGGAAGGAGCAGGTTTCCGAGGTTTGGGGTGAGCATGCCAAGCAGGGACCAAAGGTAGGGACAAGCATGGTGCTTTTGAAAGAGGCCAAAAACAGATGAGGAGAGAAGATAGGCAGGAACCTAGGGCAGAGATGGAGTGGCCGTGTTTGAGGTGCAAAGATAGCCATGGGGACCCAGCAGGACTTCCGTGACAGAGCAGCAAGGAGAGCAAGGAGATCTTGCTGTCAGGAGGGGAGCACAGGTGCAAGGTAGGGCAGGGAAAGGAGAGGAGAGGGGAGGGGGAAAGGACGGGGGAGGAGAGGAGAGGAGACCAACACCTGGGTGCGGGGTCTCGGGGTCTCGGGGAAGTGCATGCAGCATGGTCCCCTTCCAGATGCTTCTCTCCATGACCCAGGGCTGAGTTTCCTGGACCCCATCAACCCCTGCCCTCTCCCTCCCTCAGTGCAGCCCAGGCAACCTGGTCTTCATACCTTTTGTCCCTTGTGTGACTTTGCTTTTATTTTTGTTTTGTTTTGTTTTATGCCAAGACTCCCCATCTCCAGGCCTTGTCTGCAAGGCTTTGTTTTGCCCTTCAACACTAACATTGGGAGCCTAGAGCAGTGTTGGAGAGAGTAGACTGATGGCCATTTTTCCTATAAAGGAATAAAGGAGTCCTGGGGTCTCTGCTTCAGGGTCAAAACAATGGCGCCACTCAGTTGCTCCTGGGTGTGAGGAGGAAATAGGAGGACAGAAGCTTAGAAAGGCTTCTCCTTTATCTTAAAAAAGGGATAGAAACTTCCACCAAAATAATAACAAATGAGATAAAAATTTAATGGTAAAATTTAAAAGTAATTTAATAGTTTTTTGGAATATTCACTCTTTGGAGTCTAAGGCAAGTTTTACTTCACAAATCACTGACTGACAAAATACCATACTTGCTGTTTGAAGGCAGGTTGATAAAGAATTTTTTGCCTCTTACTCTTACCTCTAGGAGGTTGTTTATCTATAATACTTTCTCTCATTTTTCTTTTCAAATGGAGTTTGTGCAAAAAAAAAACTATTAATGAAAGAAAATTTTACTTGTGAGTTGTTCCCATTTCTGTCTCTAATCATTTTGTTTTCTTCTCCCATAAAATTATACCATGCTTTTATTCCTTTTAAAAAATACTACATTTAGTTATCCGTGAATAATCTCATAGATTTTAATACACCAGAAGCATTTTGAAAAAAAACAAACAAACATCTGCCTTGGTTGTTCATTATGAGTCCTGTTGCATTTCAGATTTCCTGTAAACTTCCCAGAATTGAAAAACGGGAAAATTTACTAGAAAAATATTTTGCAAATATATTATGTTTAGGGCAACAATAATAATGGGTCCAATAATTCATTTTTAAAAAATGACTGAATCTGAAGATAAGTAAACACAAGTTTCCCTTTCATTTTCAAATATATGTTCTTATTTCTAAACTCCAAACCCCTTTATTTGTATATTCTTTTTCCTGAAAGATACTCCCTGGGTAGATTTATCTTATTTATCTTTTAACAGAAAGAGTGCAAAATAGGAGAAGGTAATGCTCATAGTTCCTTTGTCTTTATTTATTTTGATTAGCATTTAAAATTGCACAGGCATGGCATCATGGAAGGCCATGAATCAGAATACCTGTTTTCTTCTCACTCTAAGAAAGTATATGATCTTGGGCAAACCATTTAAGCCCCAAGCCTCCAGGGCTCTCTTTTTTCTCAGTGTATAAAATGAAGACTATACCCAATAACTGCATGGGATGCTGCTGAATGCTGGTCATCGCTTATCCCTGAAGACTCTTGTGTCGTGCCCCAAACCATTGATCTTGCTACACTCTAAATGATTATTCTTTCTGAGAAAGAGAAAAAACAAATTTTATCTCTGTCAGAGCATTCTTTGAAGTACAGATATTTTCTAGAAATATCAACATGTTATCTATGACTTTCTACTTCTGGTTTCTTCATTTCATGTTTAAGGTGGAATGATCATCATCTCTTCCACTGTGAAACTGTTCCATGAGTGAAGTGAGTGGTGGCCTCTGCCTCCCTCCAGCACCTCCCCAACAGGTGCCTTTCCTTTGGAGAATTCACCCTTGCACCCATTCTCAACCACACATTTTAGGTGAGAATAATTTCATTCCTAGCTCCAGAGGGGCAATAGTTCCACGAATCCTGAAAGTTATTAGCTGATATGCAAACATTTCTTACTAATAGTACCATATTTATCAGAATAACAATAAAATCTTGGAACTAGACTTTAAATATGCACATCTCAAGTATTATTTAATGAGTCATGCTTGTTCTTTCATTCAAGTCCTTTGATCAGTACAAATAACCAGTATTATATTGTTTGTAATGAAGCCAAAAGAGTGAGTTCTGTACTTAGAGTGAGGACAAATTTCAGAGAGTGTGAAATACAGTGATCAGGAACATGTTAGAAAACAGCCTGTTCTATCTACAATGAAATATTTAGTGCCCCTGAAGATCTTTT